CCAGCCCCTCTGAATATACTAGCCCCTCGGCCTCTGAATATACCAGCCCCTCTGAATATACCAGTGCTTCAGCCTCTGAATATACCAGCCCCTCGGCCTCTGAATATACCAGCCCCTCTGAATATACCAGTGCTTCAGCCTCTGAATATACCAGCCCCTCGGCCTCTGAATATACCAATCCTTCAGCCTCTGAATATACCAGCCCCTCGGCCTCTGAATATACCAGCCCCTCTGAATATACCAGTGCTTCAGCCTCTGAATATACCAGCCCCTCGGCCTCTGAATATACCAGCCCCTCTGAATATACCAGTGCTTCAGCCTCTGAATATACCAGCCCCTCGGCCTCTGAATATACCAGCCCCTCTGAATATACCAGTGCTTCAGCCTCTGAATATACCAGCCCCTCGGCCTCTGAATATACCAATCCTTCAGCCTCTGAATATACCAGCCCCTCGGCCTCTGAATATACCAGCCCCTCTGAATATACCAGTGCTTCAGCCTCTGAATATACCAGCCCCTCGGCCTCTGAATATACCAGCCCCTCTGAATATACCATCCCCTCGGACTCTGAATATACCAGCCCCTCTGAATATACCAGTGCTTCAGCCTCTGAATATACTAGCCCCTCTGAATATACTGCAGTGCTTCAGCCTCTGAATATACCAGCCCCTCGGCCTCTGAATATACCAATCCTTCAGCCTCTGAATATACCAGCCCCTCGGCCTCTGAATATACCAGTCCTTCAGCATCTGAATATACCAGCCCCTCGGACTCTGAATATACCAGTACCTTGGCCTCTGAAGATACCAGCCCCTCCACCTCAGCATATGGATATACTTCTAACTATACCAATTCCTTTGGCTCTGGCTATGAAAGTTCCCCCGGTGTCAAGAATATGAACACACCTGAATATGCAAGCCCTGCTCTCTCTGGATACCCAACTTCCTCTGGATATGGGAGCCCTGCCATCCCCGGATACAAAAACTGCTCCAGCACTGATGATGCAAACGTCTCTAGCTATGCGAGCTCCCCTGCCTCTGGGTATTCTAAGCCTCTGGGTAGGCAAAATCCATCTGAAGATGGGAACCTCACCCTCAAGTATGAAATTCCGAAATACGCAGGCCTTGTGAGGCTCAGTGCATGTCATGCCCTCCGAAGGTGCCAGGGGGATTGTATGTGTTGGAGGGATAAGAAAAAGCAATAAAGGCCTGATGGAATAGACACATGACCCTTTAAAGGGCAGGTGTCTTAGGGCTTGGCCTCTTGTGTGTGATTAAACTCCGGTTTGGCTCAGCCTGTGACCTTTGGAGCAAATGAAAAAATATTTCTAGAGCGCCTGATTGAAATGTGAAAGTGGACATTGTCTGGGTTAAAAAAAATGATACAGTAAATAAAATCCACAAATGTCCTCCCTCGCCTGGGTGCTAGTAAGGCCCAAGCTTATTACAACAGGGTTTTTAAACCATCCAAGTCACTCCACCACCGCTGTGGTTTGCTTTACTTTCTTGCAGGTCACTCATCAGGGCAGATGGAAACAGACAAAGACCCAGCTGCTGCAGGCAGGCCTCTGCGTCCGTTCAGAGCCCCACAGTGGCGCATGGATCTAACTGTTAGCATTTGTACTGGAGTAGTCTACAGAAGCCCTGACCAAGATGGACCAAGCCTGCATTGTGCTGGGTGATGTCGGGATGCACAGTGAGGAATATGCCATGGCCCACTCCATTTCACCGAGAGTTTAAGTGATGTTCCCAAGATTACCCAGAGAGACTGTGGCAGAGCCAGGCCTTGAACCCGTATCACCAGAGTCCCAAGTCAACATCTTAATTCCTGGGTTAGGATTGGTCTTTGGGGCACCATCTCTGCAGCGTGTTTTGTGGAGGACACCTTTGCGATGCCCCTGGGACATCATATCTTCAAATCTACTGGGAGCCCATTTCAGGGGCTTAGTAGGTCTCATTTTTGTTTCTAGCCAGCTCCGTGACAGTTTCACCTCCTCAGCTCTAGCAAGAGGCTGTGCTGTTTGGGTTGCAGGGGGCTATTCGCATCCAAGTACAATTGAAATGATAGGAATACACATAAATTCTATGTTCATTTAGGTTTTGTAAACTTTTTTTTTTTTTAAATGACATTTGTATTATGTGCGCTGACAGTGAGAGGTCAGGACCTGATGTACAGAAGTCATTTTGGATCAGCCCTTGAACGGCTTCTGAAAACACACCTTGCGCTGACCCAAGAACTAACAACCTGATTCTAAGCCTTCTGGAATCTGAGAGGGTTCAAAGAGCAGAGCTCAGATCCCGACTTTGTGGGTCCTCACCATGGCGAAACCCCTTCGTTCTGTGAGAGAGATCCTTCATGCATGACCTTTGGAGAGAACTCAAATACAGAGGCCCCGCTCCAAAGCCATGACTTTATTCTTGTGAGTCCATGCAAGTAAAATCATGTATGTGTTTAAGCGTTTGCAAGACCAGCACCTTTATGCATGAAATATTATGGTTCTTAAACAGCCCTATGAGTAGTTAGAGCCCCATGCAGTCACTCACACTGGGGCAAAACTATCAAATCAAAGGGTAGATTTTTGCTCTGATATTTTCTTTATGGGCAAAACCTGTTGCTGTGCAAAGGGCCATCCACTCTAGGGGTGTCAATAGGATTTAAGTGGTGTATTTCACTAGGACATGGTAGTGCACAGATCCTGTGCGTGTGTGTGAATTCATCCAGATTTCATGCTTCAGAGAGCCTGTGCACAGTGGTGGTATTTCATAAAAAAAATTGTGGTGTGCGGATCAGAGGTATGAGGGTGAATTTCATCAGGATTTAATGGTGCATAGATCCCATGCACTGGAGTGAATTTCATCTCTGGTGAGAGCTTATACTGTGAAGGGGGCCAAGTAACATCCAGCTGAAAGGGACCAACCTGCCCCTCAAAACCAGCTGTGACACAGAGACACCTTGTACAAAATACAGATTTATTTCTAGTTACTTTTTACAGCAAGAAACAGCAAGCAGAAGTGTGTGAATGTAAAGCAGACGTTACTGCAAACGCCACTTTGAGAACCAAAAATCCGCCATTGCTAACTTTGTTATTCATGTTACGGTCCCAGCTGAAGGCTCCAGCTAAGATCAGAGGCCCGTTGTGCTTGGGCCACGGTGAGATACAGTCCCTGCCTCAAAATGCTCACAAGCTAAGACCCCACCCCTGCAGCTCTACTCATTTATATTCGACAAAACCCTAGGTCCTCACTTAGCTGAATTTCCCATTGTGGTTTTTCCATAGTAAGGATTGCAGAGTTTGGTTACTCTGTTGGCAGCAGTAACTAAGAATGAGGTACCTTATCAGCCCTCTCCTTCCTTATATATATGAGGAGAGATTAAAGCAACTGGGACTTTTCAGCTTGGAAAAGAGAAGACTAAGGGGGGATAGGATAGAGGTCTGTAAAATCATGAATGGTGTGGAGAAAGTGAATAAGGAAAAGTGATTTACTTGTTCCCATAATATAAGAACTAGAGGACACCAAATGAAATTAATGGGCAGCAGGTTTAAAACAAATAAAAGGAAGTTCTTCTTCACACAGCGCGTAGTCAATCTGTGGAACTCCTTGCCTGAGGAGGCTGTGAAGGCTAGGACTATAACATGGTTTAAAAGCGAACTAGATAAATTCATGAGGTTAAGTCCATAGATGGCTATTAGCCAGTATGGGTAAGGAATGGTGTCCCCAGCCTCTGTTTGTCAGAGGGTAGAGATGGAGGGCAGGAGAGAGATCGCTTGATCATTACCTGTTCGATTCACTCCCTCTGGGGCGTCTGGCATTGGCCACTGTCGGTAGACAGGATACTGCGCTGGATGGACCTTTGGTCTGACCTAGTATGGCTGTTCTTATATGTGTCTGATCTGCCCTCCAATCTCTCATCCACATTCCTTTATGTAGTGGTGGTGCCTTGACTCAAAAAGAAGGATGCCCAACGCCCATCTGTGGCTCCCAGTGGGTGGCCTAAGAGTGGTCTACCAACAGTAGACGAGTGTGGGTTTTGATCTGTTAAGAGTCTACTACCGCTGCCAGCCAAGGGAGTTACTCCTTTAGCTCACATGCTGAAGGCTCATGGTTTCAGGGCCTGAGCCAAAGCCATGGAAGTCTGCCCTGGCCCTTAGTGTCCCCACTGGGACCCAGGAAAGGGGAGGGGAGGATCATGAAATCAGCAGCCCCTCGCTTTCCATAATCCACGTGACCAAGGGCCAAACTCAGAGGTGATGTAAATTAGATCATCTCACGCTAACCGGGATGCCCTTATATCCAAGCCCCAGGAGCCTCTTGGTGTAACTTACACGCGACAGAAATTACAGACAGGCCAGAGCATGGCTCTGCACAACAGAGTAACACCTGGGCATTAAGTGGTATCTAGAAACCTTTGGTGCCTTTGATGCAGGTTCGTTATCTTCTTACTATTAGTTATGTGCCTGTCTGTCTGTGAGTCTTGTTTGTTCAAGAACACCTCCTAAACGGTCTGAGCTAGGACCACCAAATTCGATATGCATCTTCTGCTTAGTGTAACTTAAAGCAAGGCCAGGACACCGGGATGTGCCTGGAATTCAATTGTTTCTCACAACATGGAAAGGGAGGGGTCTGATAGGAGGGACAGTTATACTGTAGAATGATCACAGGGGGCAGCAAGGGGCCAGAGATGGGGTCTGGGACAGCTATAAACCCATTGGGCCAGCAGGAGGCAGGAGTGGAGAAAGGGACAGGCTCTCTACTACATATTTCAGAGAGTTCGTGTGTGTGAGTGTGTGTGCGTGTGCGTGTGCGCGTACGCACGCTTCTCTCTCTCTCTCTCTCTCTCTCTCCCCTTCAGCCCTGCCCTGGGTCTTCCTGCATGGAGAAATGCTTCTGACCTGCCACCTAGCTGCTGTGGTGAGAGAGGGATGGGGTTGCCCTCTCTCCCCAGGGCAGCCTGCAACCTGAACCCCTCCTCCCCAGCCCCACTGCAGAGCAGTGATTTAAATGAAGAAAAACAAAACTTATGTGAATGAAGGACCTGAGTAACGCCAGGTAAATCGTCTAGTATACAGTAAAATTCAACAGCCAAACCATTGCAAAGCAATATACAGAGATGACTGATTGCCAGTTTCGTGCACAGTGGGCAAAGTCAAAGAGCAGTAGAGCGGGAGGGGAAAAAAGGCAGGAAAGAAAGGAGGAAAGAGACCTTTGCATTTTATTAGTTGCATTGCCGAAGGGCTCAGGACCCTGTCCCAATGGTGTGAGCTGCTGTACAGACACAGAACAAAACCACGGGCCTTGCCCCCGAAAACTTTATCACTTACATTTGCATCGTGGGTTTGGAATGTCCGGTGGGACCACTGTGGTCCCCCAGTCTGGCCGGTACAAAGGTTGCACTCAGCTATTCCTATGCTGAGCCCAGCAGCTTCTGGAAGGACGTCCGGTCTTGTGGCTCGGTGTCGGCGTTGAAAGGAACCGGGGATTCGGAGAGATGGAGGCTGCTCCCGAGGGATGCAGAGGAGAAGGCTCCTGCACCAGTGGGGGAGAGACGGAGAGGAGGAGGCTGCCCTGTGGCTAGGGAGGGGAAGAAGCTGGGAGGAAGTCTATGGAGGGCTTTGCAGACAGAGAGGGGTCAATGTGACCCGTGTCCTATGACACAACGTCTAAGCATCCCTGGTTTACAAAGAGTAGAGCAAAGCTGAGCCTCTGTTATTTACCATCACATGAGCGTGCACATTATGGACGCGAACCTGCGTCTCCTTTGCTGCGGCCAGGGCTCCGGTCTCTCACCGGGGAGACATCCAGCGGGGTTAGCAGCAGCTCTAGGAGGAGAGCAAACATGATGGGAGCAATTCATGTTGTTTTCAGGACTCTCAGCTATGCAGGGGTGAGGAGCTGCAATGGGCTGAGCTGGCAGAGCCACCATTAGGCAACACTTCCAGCCTGTGTTTCCTGTAAGCTGAGTGCTTGGGTGGCCACCCAGGAGAGATTCACATGCCACCCAGCTGATTAGCAAAGTGTCCACAGCTGGCCCCATGTGTTTCTGCTGGTGATGCACATCTGCACATGCCTTGGTGCACAGCACAAAATTTATTCCACACATGGATGGGGAAAAATTAGCACCATTAGGCAACACTTCCAGCCTGTGTTTCCTGTAAGCTGAGTGCTTGGGTGGCCACCCAGGAGAGATTCACATGCCACCCAGCTGATTAGCAAAGTGTCCACAGCTGGCCCCATGTGTTTCTGCTGGTGATGCACATCTGCACATGCCTTGGTGCACAGCACAAAATTTATTCCACACATGGATGGGGAAAAATTAGCAGTAACATGCCTCCAGCTCTACTCAGTACCCAAGCAATGGCCTTTTTTCCTTTCTGGGATTCTGCAGAGAAATCAGCAGGGGGCATTCAGTGCATGGTCCCAACCACTCCCCCAATGGACCTACTCCCACAAACACTCCTGTCCAGATAGCCTGGGAATTGTTCCCAACAGTGCACCCCACCTACCGCTCCAGGGTCGTCGTTCTCAGTCGGAGGGTTTCATAGTCATGAGGGCCTGTGAATTCTGAAACAAAAGAGCAACACCCAGCAACACCCTGAGCGGACACCTTGATTTCCGGGTGATACACAATATTTTTCCGGTTGCTTTTGTTTTACAGCTCGGTTTCAAGGGAAGGCAATGGAATTATGTCAGGCAGGAACCTGGCCTGATAAACATAGGGACAGCCCATGCTTTCTTTGTGATGGTATGGTGTACCGCCACCTTTTTCGGGAGCACTCACGCCATGCCCCTTTCGCCCGCCACGCTCCTTTCCCCCGGCACAGACTCCTGCGGGAACAGCAGGATGAAAAATTTGCTTTTTGCGTATGCGCAGGCGTATGTTGACATGATATAGGAAGAGGGGTGGGAGAGGCATTTTTCAAATGTACTTTCCTCAAGAAAAAAGCACGGGGACAGCCAAACGGCTGCCTCTCAACACCCACCTAATTCATAGCTTGTCAGAGACAGTGGCCATCCCTAGATGGCCAGGGAAGGTGTAACCACAGGCAGCAGAGGTGCAGAAATTTTGGTGGTGCCCAGAATGTCCAGAGTCCCACACCCTTCCCCCACTCAAATTCTCCACCCTGAGGGCGGTAGTTTGGGTGCAGGCGTGGAACTAGAACAGGGGATTCGGGGGCAGGAGGCGATGCAGGCTCTGGGAGGAAGGTGGGGGGCACGAGGGGTGAGGAGTGGGACTCTGGGGAGGGCTTGGGTGTAAGTGGGGGCCTGGGGTGCAGGTTCTGATGGAGTTGGGATGAAGGAAGGGAATGTGGGTGCAGGAGGGGGTGAGAGTTGCAGGCTGTGGGATGAGGTCTGGGTGCTGGCTCTGGCCTGGGGAAGGATGTGGGGGTCCCGGGTGCAGGCTCTAGGAAGGAGTTGGGGGTTGGGGAGGAGCAAGCAGCAGCATGTCACTCCAGCCCCTCTGGGGATGCACGGGAGGGGAGAGGAGGGGAGTGCACAGAGCAGGAGGGAGTCTAGGGGACATTGAGGTAGCTTGCAGCATATTCCTGGTGCCGGGGCACTATGGACTCATATAATGCGCCGCCCACAGGTGTAAACCTTCAATTTCTTTACATCTTCAGAGCAAGCCTGGCTGGAAGAGAGGCCTCAGCCAAACCCAAGTTACTGGACCCAGTTCTGCAGTAACTGGCTGGCATTTAAGGGCCCACGTTAATACGACCAGATCTTAAACTCTATGAATTAACCTCTGTGCATCCCCCAGGGAAAGCAGATGGGGGCTATCTGCCCCCTGCCCAGATCTCATCCTAATCGTTAATTGTTAGCTCTCAACTTCAGCCCTGAAACATGAGATATTCCTTCCAGGATGGGCTGTCATTCATTAGGGAAGCTCTGTTTACTCCTGACACCTGCATAAATGTCCAATCCCTGATACAAACGTACTCCAAATCAGAGGATCGTGTCTAATAAGGCCTGTGCTAAAGGACTTATACTGGACTACAAGAGCCGGGGTGGCTTGACACCACCCAGTTCAGTGCTCTATCCACTGGACCATGCTGCCTTTCATTTGGTAGCAAACTACACCCACTTGCCCAATTGCCACCCCAGAGTATTCAAAATGCATCAGCCCCCCCACCTCAGAATTATGAAACTTAAAATAATAATAATGAACAATAAACATTGGGGTTGTTTTTCTTCACCCTGGGTTTTTTAACGTTCAGTGATACACCCTGTCAGGTTTTCAAAGCTTTTCTGTGCAACCATACAAGCTAGAACCAGTGTTCCCTGTGAGCTGGGTGCCTGGGTGGCCACCCTGGAGAGAATCCAATGCTGCCTAGCTGATTAGCAGAGTGCCCACAGCCAGCACCATGTGTTTCTATGGGTGGTGCACCTCCACACAGGCCTTGGTGCATATAACAAAATTTATTCTGCATCCAGATTGAAAAATAGAGAGGGCACATTGGCTAGAACCATTTTTTAAAAAACCTGAGGGCTGAGATTCTCATGCAATCATCTGACTCCAGCAGCTGGGGCTTGAGGAAAACCACCAAGTATCACAAGACTTGCCAAGTATTGGACACACTACAAACGATGACCCAAGATGCAGGACAATGGGATGTCAGGACTTAATTTTGCTTTCTTTATAAGGGATCAGTATTTTGTTTTCCTGCTTACTTTTTGATGAATGATGGAGTCTCCCATCCTGTAGACAGTTGTAGTAGAAGGGATCCGGGCGTAGGTAAGTGTTGTTCAGATTGCTAGGGGAACAAAGTAAAGAGACCCTGGCACTTTGGTAGGATAGTGATGGGCTAATCAGAAACAGGACAGGTGAAAGTAGAAGCCGGAATTTCCATTCACACTAGCACCCCTTTACATTACTGTGGCAAAGAGAATTCAGGGCTAGATCTTCATGTCTAATTCATAAACAAAATAATTCCCTAGCCCCTGCTCTACGGTTGCTGCTCTCAGGGGTAGTTTCTCATTTTCCAAACCCTAAAAAATTAAGAAATATCAAATCAAGGGTTAATTGTCAATTTTTCTGTGTAATGAAACATTAAGACATCACCCCGCATCCTTGACTCCCGTCAGAATAGCAATTGCAATTATTTTTTACAGCTGCTTGCAGTCAATATTATGTCTCTTGTATCTAATAGAATGTGTCACTGTAGCTAGGATCTATTATTTGTATACCAGTTTTATCCCTTCATTTTGCATTTCGTAAGTGTGGGAACTATCAGTATTGAAGTGGTCTGAAAAACAGTTTGAGAGGGGTCTGTTGTAATCCAGGAGCACCCACTTTGATGCATATAAGCACCATTTTACTATGTAGCGCTACTCATTTATTATTATTTTTTGGCTGCATCGGTGACTCCTCTGATCCTCTCCCCACACACGATAAGCGCTAGTAACAAGCCTCTTCTCGTATTTTTCATTGGATTTTTCATCAGCATTGTGGTGGGTGATCTAGGCATTTGCTGCCCACCCCTGGAAGTCCCGCCAAGAAGGTATCCTTTTGTAGAAAACGAGCCATGAATTCAGACCTCTATGAACTGCCTAGAGAGGCCACCCAGGGTCAGCTGATGGCAGGATCACCAAGAATTGGTCCTCCGCTGGCTAGAAAGGCCAGGAGCAGGCAAAAGCCAATCAGAGCCCAGCATAGAGGATAAAAAGGGTTAGTTGCTTCTTTTAGGGGCAGGTTCTGGGGGAACTTGGACAAGGAAGGAAGGCTCTCTCCTGTTTTAACCCAAGAAACCAATCGCAAGATAGACCCACAACCATCTGCTGAGTCTTCTCTCTGGACATAGGAGAGCACTGCTCCCCACACTAGGGAATAGAACCCAGGGGTCATGGTTGGTGGGTAAGGTAGGCAAGGAAAGGCATTGCCTTCCCAAAACTGCCGATGCTCTGGCTGGCCAGGAAGGGTGGGGCTGCACCACCCCCTGGGTTGTGGGAGACTAAGGGGCCGGGTGATATTCAGGGGCTGGGGGCAGTAGCTTGGGAAGGGGTCGGCCACAGACGTGGGAGCCAGGCTTGGACTCCACGGGGGGTCAGGGAGTTGCTGAAGGGACAAGGCCTCAGGCAAAAGGGGCAGGGCTGGGACTTGCTTTCCACAGCTGGGTGTTCGCCCACTACCCATGCCAGGGGTCCAGACTCCTTGTCCAGGGTCATGAGCCAACGCCTCGGGTGCTATCTTTGACTTCACCGTTTTGGTTGGGTCACCGAAGGATTCTTGGGTTTATGTTATGAAATTAAAAGCCAGGGGACCATCTGGAGTTAGACATCGACTTACTGCCCTTAAATTAAGGCAAACGTGACTTGCAAGATGCCACGGTGGCTCGGGTGAACCCAGGACAAGTGTGTGTACAGTTATGTCCAACTCAGGTTAACATTCCACATGGACAATGAACTTTGTTGCGTCTAGTCAAGTCACCTGTCAAGTCACCTACAGTTTTCTTGTGACAATGTCCCGGTGGCCCATCAGCATCACAGCTTCTTGTGAGTCAGTCTCTCTCTTTTACCCACCTGTTAGCTTGGGGCTGGTTGTGATACTCCACAATAGAGTTGTTCAACTCTGGAAGGCAGCGTGGGTCTCTGTGATCTTGCATGGATCCTTGCCCAAGGACTGTTGTCTGGGCAGCAACCCCCTCTTCAAAGAAGATTGAATGGTTAGGTAGTGACTATAATCAATAATATAGTACCTATCAGTTACATTGCGTTTTTCATCAGCCAATCTCAAAGTGCCTTACGAAGGAGGTTAGTATCCATTGGGCAGAGGGGGGAAACTGAGGCACACAGCAGGGCTGTGACTCGCCCAAGCTCACCTAGCAAGCAGAGCTGTGACCAAAACCCAGGAATCCTGCATCTAAATCACTGGATTTGGGATACAAGGAGAGGTGATTCCAAATCCTAGCTCCGACACAGACTTTCTGGGTGTCCTTGCCCAAGTCACATATATTTATCAGTGCAGTAACTTGCCATTGGTAACATGAAGACAGTAATTTTTTTAGTGAGACAGGGTGGGGAAGGTGGTGTTTTTCTGTTGGCCCAACTTCAGCTGGAGAGAGAGAGACAAGCTTTCAAGCCACACAGAGCTCTTCTTCAAGGCTGGGAAAGATCCTTCCGGAAAGTGTCACGGTATATTGGGGGGCATTAGTAGGACCGTTGCCAGATCTAGGGAAGTGCTTATTCCCCTTGATTCAACACTAGTGAGGCCACATCTGGAGTACTGCATCCAATTCTGGGGCCCCCATTACAGAAAGGATGCGGATGCATTGGAGAAAGTCCCCTGGAGTGCAGCAAAAATGAGGAGGGGGCAGGAGCATGTGACTTACGAGGGGGCTGAGGGATTTGGGCTTGTGTAGTCTGCAGAGGAGAAGAGTGAGGGGGGATTTGATAGCAGCCTTTAACACCCTGAAGTGGGGTTCTAAAGAGGACGGAGAGAGGCTGTTTGCAGTGGTGGCAGATGGCAGAACAAGGAGCAATGGAGCAACGTTGCAGTGGGGCAGGTCTAGGTTGGATATTAGGAATAACTATCCCACCTAGGAGGGGGGAAGCCCTGGGATGGGTTCCCTAGGGAGGGGGTGGACTCTCCATCCCTAGCGGTTTTTAAGTCCCGGCTTGGCAGAGCCCTGGCTGGGATGGTTGAGTTGGGCTGGTCCTGCTTTGGCAGGGGGTTGGACTCGATGCCTCCTGAGGGCTCTTCCAACGCCAGGATTCCATGAAAACGCCAGGTGGAACCGCCAGGTCAGCAGTTAGCGCATGTTGTAAGGGCCCATGCAAGGGAGAGCGGCCCATTAAAACTTGTGCAGTTATGGGACAAGAAGAGGGGCTTAGTCAGAGCCGACCCACCCGGAGGACGGTTCAGGGCGGCCACCCCAGGCCCTGCGCTGCCGGGGGCTCCCTGGCGCCTGCCTCAGTTGTCCTAGAGAGGGGCCTGGCATAGGACGGCAGTGGGGGTTGCTGCCCCTCCATTCACCAGGGCAGTGGGAGCTGGAGAGGCCCAGCAGCCTGCTCCAGCCCACCCCACTGCACCACCCTCTTCTGGGCCACTGCCCTAGGCTTCTGTGTGGCAGCAGGAAGCAGAGCGCCCTGGTCCCCAGGTGCTAGGCTGGGCTGGAACAGGGCAAAAATGGAGCAGGCTGTTGGGACGCTCCCGTCACTGTGGTGAGGGCAGGGGAGGGGGGAACTCCTGCTGCCTGGCCCCTGGTAGTTCCCCAGCACAGGGGCGAGGGAAGGGGGCAGAGCAGGAAGGGGTGTGACGGGGGCAGAGCAGGGGCGGGGTTTGGGGAAGGGATGGAGCTGGGGCAGGACAGGGGTAAAGCAGACATGGGGCCTGAGGTTGGGTTGCCCCGGACAAGGCTGCGGGGCCTGGGGCAATTTCTCTGATGCAGGCCAAGCCTGCTTCTGCCCCGCCCCAGCCCCACGCCACCCCTTCCCCAAACCCCACCCATTCTGCCCACACCACCTCTTCCCCTGAGCAACGTGGCCCAGGGGATTATGGGGCCTGGCGAGAGGTGGCAAGAGGGGTCAACCCCCCTCTCCCCACACTTCCCGGGGTGACGGGAAGCCAGAGTGTGCTAGGACTGGGGCGCGCTACGTCCTGTGGCAGTGCAGAAGCAGAGCGCCGGGACAGTGGAGCAAGGTGATTCCAGCCCATCCAACCTCTTACCTGAAGCCCTGCAACTTGGTCCCGGCAGAGGCTGCCTCCCAGGGTTCTGCAAACCGCCCCCTGCCCTTCGCTGTGGAGAAGGTCTCGGAGGCACTGGAGCCCTCGGCACGGACTCACATTGCTCCTCTGTGGTGTGCGCAGGGGGGCCGGGCTTCATGAAGGGCCTGTCACAGCCACAGAGACAGAGGTTGGCTTGCTGGTGACGGCCCTGGCCGCAGCTACGAGACAGGAGGGTCTCTTCCCTCCCCAGGGATGGGTGGCAGGTTGTCCGTGCTTTCCTACTTACGCATGGCTCCCCTGGTGCAAGGCCTGGCGTCGGTTCCCCTGCCCCTGGGCCAACGCTGTGGAAAAACGGACCTGACTGGAGGTCTGTAACTTCCCAGGGAAGGGCTTCTGTACAGCGAGAGAGACAGTCAGCACTTAGAAGCTGTGGGAACAATTCGCCTCAATGGGATGGCTAGCTTGCTCTAGGGCAGGGCTACTTAACACACGGCCCACAGGCTGCATGCGGCCCACGGCCTATTTCTTTGTGGCCTGCAGTGAAGTTTGGGTCTATGTGGGACTCAACACATGGCCCGTGGGTGGGAGCCAAAACAAAAAAGTAGACAATATAAGGGTCTTCTGTTGATACGAGTTTTAGTAGTTAAATTCCTGGACTGTTTTTGCTCATTAGAAGTGCCGTCCTATGGGTGGAAATCAGGTCAATATTACATTTTATTAATAACATTAGAACTGACTTAAGTGGGGCCTGCATGTTGTGTAGTCTTGCCTTAATCTTAGTATTCATGCCTGTCAGTGTGAAAGAAGCTATTTGCATATATTTGCATGTATGTGCAACCACACTTAAGTTGCGGCCCTCGGCATGTGCGGTGAGTATCACTGTGGCCCCCAGGGCTTCCAAAGTTGAGTAGCCCTGCTGTAGGGCGTGTCTGGGGACAGACAGATGGGTGTGTGGGGAGGGACAGGCAGACAGATCAATAGATTGGAAGCAGAGAGACTAGCTGGGAAGCCGAGAGACTAGCTGGAGTGTACTGCCCTTCGGCCATGCCCCGATCTACTCCCATCAGTGGCATCATGTTGTGCCCTTAGGCCTTAGCTCTGCGCTGCCTGGAGGTTTTCGGGAGGCTGTTTTGGCCGACTTCATGCTGCGCATGGGGGCCTTTGTGCATTTGAGAGCCAGGCCCTGAGCACATGCCAGGGTTGGCAACACAGGCCCACCAGGGACTGCTACTCAAAACACCCCGCGCCCGCAGGCACCACGCAGAGCAGCGTTAATTTCGGCACCAAGAGGCCGACGGGAAGTGGCTTGTTACTCACCAGAGGGGCAGCTGCTGTTATCCCGCCCCCGTGGGAGAAGCGGCTGTTCAGGGAGAGCTGGTACTGGATGGCGTCTGTGAGCTTGTTCACAATCCGCTCCTGGGCCGTTTCGGGAACACCCTGCAGGGAGATAAGAGACGGGCTCCCTTAGACCGAATGGGGGAAGAGGGGGCTGGTGCCAGGATCCCAGACGTGGGCCGGGGTCGCCGTCTGACCACATCGTGGTGCAGTTCTGCTTTCTAACTGCTTGCCTGCCCCGTGGCTTTGTTAGCACTGCTCCCAAGTCAGGCGGCTGGATTGCTAAGATCCCTTTTCGCCCTCCCCTCAGGAGCGCCAAGAACTTAGCAAGGCTAATGAAAGCCTCCCCCACGGATAAACCTGCTCAGAAGAATCATTTCCATTTCACCCAGCGCGGGTCATTGGCAGTGGTGATTGGATCCCGGGAGCTCAAAACCGGTTGCTGCTGCTTGCGCTGAAAGACCCTGCTCCATTTGCAAAGCTGTAGCAGGCTCATCCTACCCGCCACTTGAGGAGGCCAAAACCCCTCGATCCCAGGGCGCACACACTCCAAATTGCAAAGCCAGGACAAATGGTGGCCACTGGCTTGAGGAACAGGCTCCAAATCCAGGGCTGTGCTGGAAGAGGAACCCAGAAGGTTGGTGTGCCAGTTCTGGGTTCTAACCACTAGACGATGCTCCCTCTCAGCTCTGCAGCACAGATCCCAAGGGCCTAATCCCTATTTCCACTGAAGCCCCTTCACCCCACGGGGGAACAGGAGAGGCCTTCCAGCGGGCACGTTGCCAGAGTGGTCCAAAAGGGCTTTCCAGTCCACGTGAATCAAGCCCTCGGTGGGGTGTGGATCGGTTTGTTCGTGCTCAGGTGCCTTACCCGGCATTTAGAGAGCAACGTTAATGCCTCCTTGTAATGCAGGATCGCCTTCTCGGGGTCTCCTAAGTGGAAGCAGGCAGCTCCAAGTCCTTCACAAGCCTGCCACTGCCCGGGGAGGTCATCTGGACATAGAGGGGGAGACTGGTTCAGACAGAAGACAGAGCGGCAGGATCAGGAGACCGGTCCTTGCCTTTCCACTTGATCTGTCACACGTCATCCTGGCACTCCCTAGCACCCTGCCAGCCCATTCCTACAGTGCAGACTCTGAGGGAACAGCATCATCTATCCAGCCATCAATACCACATCAGCCAAGGAGCCTTTGCACCTCCTGGGCACATCAATTTGGACTAGGGAAGTTAAATATCAGTTAATTGAATAGTCGATTAACCTCATGAATTTTTATTGGTTGGTCGACTATTCTATAGGCCCCGGGGACGAGGCCGGCAGCCACTGCGCTCCAGCCCCACTCCTGAGGAGCCCCCAGCTACTCCGTACTGCTGCCTCTGATACAGAGGCAGCAGCATGGGGTGTCAGGTGGGAGCTGGTCCACAAGGGGAGCCAGTTTAAAAACCAGCTCCCCTCACGGACCGGCTGCCTGTCACCCCACACTGCTTCATAGGAGTCGGGCTGCTGGCCAGCCTGCTAAAAAATGTACTGGCAAAGGAAGGGGGAGGAAATGCATGTAGTCTATAACATTAACCTATAAGCTTTTGCTTATCTGTTAATCCATTAATCGACTACACTGTTACATCCCTAATTTGGACTTGCCAGTTGCCGTTCTCAGGCAGAAAAACTTCAAAACCAGCCTGCAGAGAGAAACTACTAAGCTGGTGGCCAGCCTGCTAAAAAATGTACTGGCAAAGGAAGGGGGAGGAAATGCATGTAGTCTATAACATTAACCTATAAGCTTTTGCTTATCTGTTAATCCATTAATCGACTACACTGTTACATCCCTAATTTGGACTTGCCAGTTGCCGTTCTCAGGCAGAAAAACTTCAAAACCAGCCTGCAGAGAGAAACTACTAAGCTGGAATTCATATGCAAATTTGACACCTTGAACCAAGGTCTAAAACTCTTGGAGTGGTTCTCCCATTACGGGAGGTAATTTCCCATTCAGGTACTCTCAACGAGTCATATCCATTCTGATTTAATTAGTACTGATGTCATAGCCTTGCTGGTCTCCTACCCAAGGGCTGATCCAGCTGGAATCTGCTTAGCTTGGGAGGGCTGCGAAAAAATAGCAGAACTGAGCAACTCGGGCTGTTCCCAGGCTCCCAACACACTCCTAGGGAGAAAAACCTGCCAACAGGCTAGGGATCACAACACCCCATCCTCAGCTGTGTCTTCCCTTACCTGAATCCTTGAAGGCCTGCATAGTATGCAGGTAGTTCTCCCCCGCAGCCTCATGGTCCCCCAGCTGGCTGAATGCATAGGCCAAGTTGCCAAAACACTGACCTTGAGCCTTCCTGTTTCCCAGCATACCTGGAAACAGACAAACATATCCCCTTTCAGAGCCAGTTTCCTTGGCACCAGTGTTCCCTGCAAGCTGGGCGCTTGTGCAGGCGCTCAGGAGACGTTCAAATACCACCCAGCTAATTAGCAGAGCTCCCACAGCTAGGTTTTTTGTTTCTATGGGTGGTGCACATGGTCTCTGTGCACATAACATTATTCCACACACTGATGGAAAAGATTAGAGGGAACATTGCCTGGTACTCTGGGTGCGTCCACACTGCAATCAGGGGCATGTGTGTGTGAATGCAGCTCATGCTGGGTGCAACTAACAACAGCGGCAGCAGCAAAACGGCTCCCAGGTCACAGTTGTGTTCAGGGACTCGACCTGCGCAGCTGTCCCTGCAGCCACATGGAGTTAGCTACATTAAAACTAACTTGGGTATGCGTTCACAAGTTGCAACCACACCTCCTGACTGCAGTGTGGACACATCTGCTGCAGACTTCGTCTGTAAGCAATGCAGTCCAAGGGCATCTGTCACTGCACGCAGATTTCCCCAATCAATGGGGCTGTGCATTAGCCCGTGTCTACACTAGAAAGTTTTCCCAATTGCATGCCTGCCGGCGATGCTACTAAAGCATGTGGACACTTCGTAGGGTTGTGTATGGGAGCCTGAACGGCCCTCCCTTGACCAAAACAACGTCTGCAGTGTTAGGCCTCATCCCGGCCTTATCCAAAGTACGGCTCTCTAACAAGCCACCCTAGGCCTGATTCAAACTTGGGCATGCATGTATACCCGCACGCAGACCAGGCCAGGAAGGGTGGGGGAAAGTCAGGAGTGCTTGCCCAATTACCCATAACTTGTACAGTACAGCGAGTCTAGGCCAAGAAGACCAGAAACAGCCTGGTACTAGTACATCCCATTTTTGATAAGAGAAAAATTCCAGACACAGCCAAAAAAACCCTATTAATTAAGCACTTTTGCAATATTTTGGCACAGCAAAATGTATCCTAGATATTGGCATAATAGGTACCTTACGTAAAATGTAGTTGATTGGTAGATATGACTAGAACGACCAAGTCTCCCTTTGCTATAAATTGGGTTTAATAAGAACAATCAGTGGGAGGGAATAAGCAGGGTTGACCCACAGGTCCTGCTGTCACTGTAAGAAGAAGGAATGGACCCCCTCACACTGGTGAGCCCAGTACCTGGCGTTCCAATGCATGGGAAACAAAGGAACCATGAGCTCCTGCCTGGTACTGTAGGTAGCATACAAGTGAAGTGTAAGTGAACTAGCCTTAATTATTGTATTATAAATAATTTTCTATTACTTGCTTTGCATTGTATTAATTGCTTTAGATTTTAAACCTTAGATACTGTATTTTAAATTGTATAGTAATTGTCAGTAGCTTTTTTTGTTCTCCTGGTTTTTTTTTTTTTTTTTGCTCCACCAAGTTTTTTTCCTGCCATGTTTGGGATTTTTGGTGAAAGCTTCTGGCAAGCCTAGACACTTGACTGCCTTTGCTACCACCACATGTTTTCACTGTGAGAGACTTCAGGACAGGTAAAATAAATTTTGTTAGGTGCCCCGAGGCATGTGCAGATGTGCACCACCAGTAGAAACACATGCTGCACTTGTGGGCAGCTGTGGATGCTCTGCTGTGCGCTTGGGCGGCCACCCAGGAGAGATTCAAATGCTACCCAGCTCTTTAGCAGATTGCCCGCAGTGCCCACAGCTGGCAGCATGTATTTCTATTGGTGGTGCACATCCGCACATGCCTAGGTGCACACAACAAAATTTATTCTGCACATGGCTGGAAGAAATTAGAGGGAACACTGCTGGTTTCCTTCTTTTTAGAGTGTTCCGGATTGAGAGCCCCAGTGACCAAAATCCTCCCTTTAGCGCCCATGAAAAGTTCTAGATTGAGAGGCCCAGAGAGCAAAAATTTCCCCTTTTGGGTCCATGAAAAGTTTTAGAGTCCCACCACTTTTGATTCCAGCACCTTGTATTCCCCCTCCCCACAGCCACCTACCATGCAGCAAAGCCGCTCTTTGGTGGAACTCTAAAGCAACGCCAAAGTTCTCCAAGGTGTTGTGGGCTGCACCCAGGTTTTGCAGCACCACGGCTTCCTTGCGCCGGTCTGTCTGGTCAGCTTGGCAGAGCGGGAGGGCTTTTTCGAAGCTTTCGGCTGCCAGGGAAAAGATCTTGAGCTGGGCATAGCTGAGGCCGATATCGTTGTAGAGCTTGCCTGCGGGAAGAGAGAGAGAGAGAGAGAGAGAGAGAACTGGGTTGTGGTCTCGGGTTCCAGATGTACATTTGGAAGATATAAGAAAGGTGCACAAGCTACAACTTCAAATGCAGGACTCACAAAGCAGCATAAATCCAATGACCTTACATAATGGGGCTACTCCCTAAGGCCAAAAAGGCCAATGAGAAGTCCTCCCGACAGGCTAGAGTGGCTGTGGAGGACCCAGCCAATCAGGAGCCAGGCAGGACTATATAAGAAGCTGCAGGACTAGCAGCTAGGCTTAGTTGCAGCCCAGCCCTGGAAGGGAGACAGTTAAGGGGGCAGGCGGGCAGGCAGGCAGGCAGAAAGAAAGAAAGAAAGAAAGAAAGAACTAGGGACTGCTCTAGTGGAGAACTGTGGAGAGACTCATGGGCTTGAAGGTAAAAGCTCTGAGGAAAGGGCAAAGGAGGGGAAGCCCTGGAGGCACCACCCTTGTTCAGAGTGAGGCAATGTAGGAAGGGAACAGCATTGAATTGAGACACATTCTGCGGAGGGCACCAGGGAAGGGCCTCTGTTAGAGGAGCGTATCCCGGAAGGGGCTGTGATTTCACACAAGACTGTGTGTCTCAGCTAGAGGGTTGAGTAGCCTAAAAGGCTGAAGACTGAGGGCAGTGCAGGCCTGCGTGCTTGGCCAAACGGGGGCACTCGCGGGAGATGTGTGCCACCCTGTTACACCTCATCTGAGAAGTTAGATTAAGGAACAATGGACTAGTCCATCCCGTCCAGTGCCCACCAATGGACCTACTCTACCCACGGCCCACTGGGTCCTCTGCTGAAAGGAGACCACTAACATCAACTTTGTTGGGGGCTTGTGTGATGTAGTGAGTGGCCTATGGGGCACTCAGACCCATCAAACCCTGGTGTGTTAGAGGCCACCAAGCCGTTATTCTCTTCTGGTCCATATACTGCTGATTGGACTGAAGTGCTGTCCGCTCCTTACCAACCTGGTTACTCTTTCCATATGAAAAGAACAAGCATGTACTTTTGGCCTAAACAACTCTGATTTTAAGCAAAGGAAAAAAGCAATCTAATCAGAAGAGAAGTTGAGAGAGAGAGAGAGAGAGAGAGTGTGTGCGCGCGCCTGCGTGCGCACACAGATTCGTCCTTAAGATTTATGGGGCCTATGCAGTACTATTAAACTTGTATCCCTCTACCCAACAGCAGCTCAGGGTGGGAAAATGATTTTTTTTTAAGAGCTGTGATTTTATAAGTGTCAGCAACACACCAATGAAATATTTTAAAGCAAATTTTAAAACTCAGGAACTGTTGACTAACACAGTAAATTCAGAGACTGACAGTCTATCCCTGGGGTTGGCAAATGCCTCTGACATGGCTTCATTACCACTTTGAATGGCCCTCACTGGTTCACTGTGCTGCTAATCGCTCTGGCAGGATTTCCCACTGTTACGTTAACTACATCCCCTCTGGAGGAAGCAGAGTTACAGGAGAGGGATAGAAAGAGGGAGGTGGGTGGACATTAAGACCCAGTGTTGCCCTATATTTTCAGGTGCCTTACGTATGGTAAGGATGGCTTTGTGTGTGCAAGGCACAGTGTGTGTGTCTCCTTCTCAACAAACTGCCTCTGGACAGGACACAAAATGGCAGCAAAGGGCTTGTAGGAATTTACAGGTGCAGCACAAAGGAAACTGCATCCATGCCAGCTGCACACGTCTGGACTAGGTTTGATCTGTAGCCTGTGTTCTCTGAGGGAGAGCATTGTGTGTGTGCAAGGGACATAAAATGGCTGCCGCCTCCAGACAGGTTGTTAGGAATTTAAAAGCAAAGGGGAAGCACCATGTGTAATGCCAGCAGGCAGAATCAAACCCATGACCTCTGGAGCCTAATGCATGCACCTGCACTTCATGAGTTAAAAGGCAGCTGGCTCGTGGCTAAGCCTATAGAGTGGACTCATTAGTCTCTTTGTCTCATGGCCACTAGATGGGACTGTCCACCTCACCCAGGAGGTGTGTAGGTCACACATGCACGGCAGGCCTATATTGACAGCTTGCATAGGTCAGTAGCCTCACACCCCCACCCGGCCTGGCTTCTTACCCAACAAGGCTTTGTTTGGGATGTTCTCACATAGCAGCTGGCATTCATTCAGCACTTCGATGATCTCCCCTGCCCCGTACCACTGGCTCTGCAACATGTAGTTACTGGCCTCAGCCAGGGCCCCCGCGGCACCGTCTAGCCTCTCAGCCTCGATGTAGGCCCGCCCAGCGTCCTGGAAACACTGAGCCGCTCGCGAAGGGTCCTGCATCCCCAAGTAGCAGTAGCCCATCTTCATGTAGGCCCCGGCCTGGTTGCCAGCCTGGGCCGGACAGTAGTGACCCAATGCCTTGCGGAAATGCTCTAGAGCCTTCGGGAAGTCCCCTAGTCCCTCGTGGGCCACCCCCACATTAAAATAAAGGTCCCCCAAGTGCTCTCCAGCCTCCCCCTCCTTGGGCTGGGACTTGAGTAGGAATTCCAGGCCCTTTTCCGGCTTCCCGGTCTCCACGTAGACCGCCCCCAGGTTGAAAGCACAGGCCTTCTGGACCTGCGTGCTGGGGGTTTCCAGTGACAGGAGAAAGGCCTTCTTGAAGCAGGCCAAGGCCTCCTGAGCCTCCCCGAGCAACAGGGCCTGGTGGCCTGCATTGGTGAGGCCTTTGATCTCAGCTTGGCTCTTCAGAGGCTCATCTCCTGCGTCCCTGGCTTCTCCTGGGGCTTTGGCTTTCTCCTTCCATTTCTTCTTCTTCTTCTTGGAGACCAGAGGCACAGCAGGATCCGGCGCCACAGGATGAGCTTCTGACCCAGTGGATTCTACCAAAGCCATTGACAGTTCTTCTGGTGCTGACGGGACATTGAGGGCCTACAAAAGACAAGAGGCGGGTGGGCGTCACACAAAAGGGTCCATAGAGGACTGAGCCACCATGAGCATCTTCTCACCATCACCAGCATTTCCTTGCACGCAATCGCTCCCACGAGCAGCGTGGGAGCAGGGAAAGGTCTCATGAAATCCATAAGGCCGGATGTTGAAATGAGACAATCACCTTAGAAAGCAGGTGTATATTTTTGACAGTGATTAGCCACTGGGACAAGTTACCAAAGGTCACAGCGGATTCCCCATTGCTGACCATTTTAAAATCAAGATGGGGTGTTTTTCTAAAAGATCAGCTCTAGCAATCATGTTGGGGAAGTTCTCTGCCCTGTGTAGTGCAGGAAGGCAGAAGCCGGTCACATTCCTTCTGGGCTTGAAATCTATAAATCTACATAGACAGGGAACAGATTTAACTAGGGATGTTAAACATCCTGTAATGGGTAGAGATGTTAAAGACTAGTCAACTATCCAATAAGCAAATGTTTATCGGATAGTCAGTCGACTAGTTGACTAGTCGACCCCTCTCACCCCACCGCTATTAGATAGAGGCAGCAAAAGGAGAGCAGAGGGGATACTTGAAAGCGTCAGCCCCGCACAGCTGAGCCCATAGAGGACTGAGCCAACATGAGCATCTTCCCACCATCACCAGCATTTCCTTGCAGGCAATCGCTCCCACAAGCAGTTCCCAACCCTGCCAGGCACCCTGCTGGGGCACACCCGGCTTCTCTAGGCCAGTGGTCTCCAACCTTTTTAATCATAAGATCACTTTTTGAATTTAAGTGCAATCCAGGATCTCTCTCAAACCCAAACCCCCTTGCCCCGCCTCCTTCCCATCCCTACTCTGAGGCCCCACCCTTGCTCACTGCATCTTCCCTCCCCCGTCTCACTCACTTTTTTCAGTCTGGGGGCAGGGATTTGGGGTACAGGGAGGGTTCAGGACTGGGGCAGAGGTTCAGAATGCGAGTTCCAGCTGGGCACCGCTTACCACAGGTGGCTTCTGGGTGGTGGTGCAGGGGGCTGAGGCAGGCTCACCCCTACCCTGGCCCTGCACAACTTCCAAAGCAGCCAGCAAACTCTCCATCCTTGCCCCCCTCTGCTCTGTGAAGATGGGGTACATGGTGGAGGGAGGGGCATCCTGACATCAGCACCCCCTCCTTTTCCTTCCTGTGCCCTGCACAGCAAACAGAAGGCTCCCAGGGATGAAGGGCACCTCCAAGGCAGAGGGTAGGAGCAGCACGGTAGTGCTGAGAGGGGCAGATGAAGTGCCAGTACTTGACAGCCCCCAGGCCAAACTTCTCAGGATCACCTGTCAAAGGTTCCAAAATCTACCAATAGATCTCGATCGACTGTTTGGTGACCACTGCTCTAGGCTCTTGGCCCTGCTCGCAGCTTTCTGCCAGCAGTCCACAGTCCTGCCAGCCCACAGGCACTAATGCTCCATTGGGATTCTCTGGTTTTGGAACATCGTGTTGCCGGACCAGATAGCCCCGGTTTACAAAGGTTCAACCTGTATACGTAGTTTTGCACTCTAGGGATCTGACTGGTGCCAAACCTGAGAATTTGCCAAACCACAGGAGGTCAATATTGTCTAGCAGCATGACCAACACTTCCACGGCATACTGGGCTCTTAGAAGACATTTTGGGGTCCATTAGAGCTAAATCACAGCACAGAACACTGAGAGCCAGGACTGGTGGCCATAAACAAACTTTATGGGACAGCAGGAAACTTGGCCACACCCATGATAAGTGGACATCTGACTAACTAAAACCATGTCTAACCACAGATGTAGCCAACCAGAGAGTGTTGGACTAGAGAGGTTCAACCTGTACTCTGGATTCTGTAATTTCCACTCTATCTCATCTGATAAAGAGGGTTTTACCCACAAAATTCATGACCTAATATATTGCTTAGTTTCTAAGGGGGCACAGGACAGCTCCTTGTTTTTAAAGTTACTGATTACTCCTCTGAGATTAAATACCCCTAAGTTTGCATTACAGCCCCGTTGCTCTGCTCTGGCAGCTAGAAGAGGCTTTCTGTGCATGCAATCCTTTACATTGCCAAAGTGAAGTGATGTCAAGGGGCCTTAGTTTAAATGAGAGCCAGAGCCCTAATTATAGCGATTAGCGTTCTGAGTTTCTTGATCTTTCTGCTCCCTCCTCATAACTGCAGATTCATAACTTGAATCGGTATGGGGGGAGGGGCACTGCACAATAGTGAGGAAATATAGTCAGCTGGTTATATTCCTGTCTCTGCCAGTGGCTTCCTAGATGCCATTGGGTGAGTCACTTAATGTCTCTGAGGTAGGCTTTCAATCACACACTTAGGGGCCTCACTCCCATTGGACTGAGTTGCCTACATGCTATAAAACAATCTCCTCTAGGCCTCAGTTGTCCCAGCTGCAAACCGGGAGTAATAAATTGCTTTACTTACCTAATGCTTCATCACTGTTCGCGGAGCGCATCGCGGTCTTAGATGGCGGAAGCAGATCATGGTTCTTATGCCCAAATGCCAACGGTCTCAAAGAAGCAAGCAGGAGTGGCTCCTAGGAATCGTCCTTAGACCAGGCTGCTCCCAGGCCCAAACTTGCAGCAGGACAGGAAATTGGAGAGGCCTGTCCTTATCATTCCAGCGCCCTGTGAATGTCACTCCAGTCTGCAACAGGCGGCTTGTGCCCCTGATTGTTAAGATAGTGCTACAGCAACGAGCGAAACCCAGGCAGGTTTTAGTGAGCTCTGGGGTTCTTCCTCTGCTGGATGTTTTCCCATGATGGCCCATAAGGGTCCGGTTTCTTCTTACTGGCCTTCCGGTTGCTTGAGACAGGTTGGGCCGCGCACCATGGCAACAGGCTTCAACAATGCTGGGCCCTCCCTCATTCAGCCAGCCTGACGGATGGTTAAATCTGCCTCTCGCAGCTCTGGGTTGGAGTGGGGTGTTTGAGCCAGGCTGTTCGTTTAGGACTCAGCCTTTCTGGGAGGGGCCCTGTTAAATTCACCCTCTGTTATGGCCAATGTCACGGCCATAGGATTAGAAAATTGGTACATTTCATGTTTTCAGCCATTGCAACCTGAAATGGCCCGGTGGTGTAATCATGGGGTCCTGACCCAAAAGGAGAGTGGGGGGAGGAGGCAGTTCCACAAACCTCTTGTGGGGATTTCATGGGATTGCCACCTTCACTTCTGGAAGGCAGCCACCACAGAGTTTCCTGCAACGGGGAGCACTCCAGCGAGGGGCTCCTCACTACTAGTCCTGCCTGGCTGGGGAGTGACAAAACTTGCTCAGTTTGTCCCCTTTCCTCTTGCTCTGTCCCTACAGAGCTGCTGAAAGTGCTGCACAACTACCCGCTCAGCTGCAGGACTCTGAGGCTGTTGCCCAGTTCCTGACAGCATCCTGCAGCAGGGGGAGGCACCCGGAGGCGCGTCTGTCTGTTCCCCGCGCCCCCAGCAGCTATGCAGAAAATGGACAAGTCCTGTCCTGCCCAGTGGGAGCTAGGAAACACCCTTTGATGGGGTGCTCCTAAGAACAAGGAGATATGAGGTTTCAGTGGGATAGGTTTATTTCTTATGTTCCGGACGCATTTTATACGGCTGTGAAATTATTAAGGCCCATGTATGGGTTCTAAAGGAATAAAAATTGGGTGAATGGAGCACAGGTGGAAGTCCTGGAAACTGGACCCCTCTTCCACAGAATGGGGACAGCCCTGGTATTGCTTCCCCCACAGTTAGCGCTTCGTGACTCACTTTGTGTCTTGGAGCCTTGCGTAAAGCAGCTAACAAAGGAGCCTGTTAGTAATGATGAGGCGGCTGGTTTGGCAGCTGGCTGAGACCCATCAAACTCGCTGCACATAAAGAACCGATGCTGCCCCTCCCCTCCATTTTCACGGAGTGTTAACCAAGCCCAGCAGCTCTTGTTTTGGTGCCACCAGAAGGGAGCTGGTAGCTCCTCTCCTGAGATACCCGCTGCTGCATATCACTGTCTCCTGCCCCCCGTCAAAAGGCACTAAGAGGTTCACACGACAGCTGAGCTCTGCAATCTATAACCTAAAGACTCTCACTGAAATCAGGGCCCCATCGGGCAAGGCGCAGTGCTGTGTGTAAATACAGTGAGAGACAGGTTCCTGACTCAAACAGCTTACACTCTACAGGACAAGACAAAGGGTTGTTGGGGAAACTGAGGCACAGGGCTGCATGATTTGGCCAAGGTCACCTGGCAGGTCTGTAGCAGAGTCAGGAACAGACCCCCAACTCTCCACTGGACCATACTGCCTGTCAGTCTAAGTATAGGGTTGTTCTCGTTTTCTTCCTTAGGTTTGGCACCCTGACTTCCAGCTCTGGATAGAGTGTCTGGGAGTTAGGGATACACCTCCAGCTCTGGCAGCTGTTGGGTAATTAGTGTGCAGGCCAACAGAGTTAGCATGGGTCATGTAAGCTGTGGCTTTTGCACGGTGCTTTGTAAAACAAAGGAGGCCAACTCCTTGCTCAAGCTCATTCAAATGGGGACATGATGCATGACAGGTACTAAGGAAATGTCCTTTCCCAGCTAGCTGCAAAGAATCACAGGCCACATTTAGCCCTGGTGTAACTCCCTGGGCTTCAGTGGAATTGACCCCAGGGATGGATTTGGCCCTGCATTCCTCATTGTTCCAGGTCAACCCAAAACAACCAGACAGAGCAGCACAAACACCTGCTTTTATTATTACAATATAATCGGCGCCCTTTAGGGTGCATTAAGAGAATGAGCATAACACCTTGCAGTTCTCACTTCAGCTCCTGACAGTCATTCATGAATTAACCCTCACAACCTCTTGGGAGGTAAGTAAAGAATGCAAGGAATTGGCTAGTGTGTGCACACTCTGTTGCCCTCTAGTGGCTGGAATCAGAATGGCTCAGGTGTGTCTCAGGCCCTACACTGCTAGCAGTGAATGAAGATTCTCTCACCATTCAAGAGGCAGGGTCTGTGCGCTTAGAGCAGTGGGGGAGCACGTGTTGGTATCATCCCTGCAAGTTTCTGAGTGGCCCCACGGGGCACAGCATTAGGGACAGATTTGAAATGTTAAGTTGGGTGTGGCTTTGATACCCTCCTCTCTGTCCCATGTCACAAATGGGGAAACTGAGGCAAAGAAAAGGGGAGGAGAACTGCCCAAAGTCACATGATGGAATCAATCTCAGAACCCTGAAGAGCTGATTCTCAGCTCCTCTGCTCTAGCTCCTAGACCCGGGGTCACCAACCAGTAGCTCGCGATCTACCGGTAGATCTCGGAGGCTCTAAGAGTAGCTCTTGAGCCCTCTCTGAACTGTGCACCTGCGCAGTACATTTACATTCGATTTCCTCATTTGAGGAGCAGCTACTCACCGAGCAACAGCACAGTTGAGTAGCTGCGAGGAATGGTGGGAATTTTTTTTTTAAAGTAGCAGTATACGGATTGGGGATAGCAAGTGATGGAGAGGAGGAGAATAGAGAGGGCGGGGCTTCAAGGAAGGGGCGGGGCGGTAGAGCTTGGCTTGGTCTGTCTTTTAAAAAGTGATCTTGGGTGTAAAAAGGTTGGAGACCACTGCCCTAGACCCTGCTCTTCTCCCACAAGGGAACAAAACCCAGGAGTCCGCTGCCCATTCTTCCTGTGCTAGCCACTGGACCTTTTTCTTTTCTATGGGTTTATATTAGTGGTGCTGATGTCAGCGGCTGGGGGAAGAGAGAGAGGTCTGCATGTCCTACTCCCTGCTAATGTAAAGGCACTTTTGCAGGAGACTCCAGGGCATTATGCAAGCCTGCCCTGGAGAGAGAGCCCTCCCCGCCCCCTTCCTTGCACAAGGCTGCTAAGAGCAGAGGGTTACTTTGCCCCTTCCCTCTAGGCTAGGGCACCCTGGCTGCTGTGCATGGGGCAGGGAAGTTCAGAGGGGGGAGAGACAGTGTCTCTGTGCGTGTGTGTCCCCTGCCCT